ACCATTAAGCAAATTCAGCACCAACAACTGGTCATAAAGCCAAGAAGATGGTGGCTTTCTTCAACTACTTTCGAAAATATATAGACAACTTTGCAAAAAAGATCGAACCACTCCACGAGTTGTCATTGGTAAAAGGAAACATTTCTCATTTATGGAAGGAGGAGCATAGTCAGTGTTTGGAACATATGAAAGAATTGCTTTTGTCCAAGCCCATTTTGGCATTCTTTTATCCTGACCGGGAAGCGATAGTCCGTACTGATGCGAGTTATGATGGGATGGCTGCATCTTTAAGTCAACTAGAAGATGACAAAGTGGAGCGATACTGTGCCTTTATTTCCAGGACTCTGAAAAAAGCAGAGAAAAACTCATGCTTGCTGGAGCTGACTGCGATATGTTGGGCAATGAAACGGTTTCGCAATTTTGTATATGGAGTTAATAATATACACGGATTGCCATGTGTTGGCATTTTTATTGCATGGGAGAAAGAAAGAACTCAATGCGAGGATGTCACGATTCGCTTTCACCTTGTTAGACTAGAACATCATCGCCATCAAGCATGTTAAGGGATCTCATAATACATGCGCAGATTTTCTGTCAAGATATCCAACGGAGGAGTATGACCCAGCTAGGGACGAGTTACAAGAGTTGCCATTGTTGCACATTGGACTGCGACCGGTACGGACAGAACAAGTGGACGATCCCAAGCTTGCAACGATAATAGAAAAAATTGAACTGGGCTCAAATGTTCCGAATTTTTCAATCAAAGTCCTTCATCATCGCGACTTTTCCAATAACAAATATGCACTGGCAGTACCGCAACAATGGATAGGTGAGATTTTGCAGGAATGCCACGACTCGCCCTCATTTGGGTGTCACATGGGGTTAGCCAAAACATTTTGGAAGATTCGTCAACGCTATTGGTTCCCAAAAATGCGTCAAGTAACGAAGGAATATATTAAAAGCTGTCCATCATGTCAGGCAAGGAAGATACCCAGAAGGAAACCATATGGGAAAATGCAAAAAATACAAGTTAATTCCACTCCATTTTTCCGTGTGCAAATAGATATTTCCGGTCCATACACTCTTAGCTCTAATCGTAACGTGTACATAATTTCGGCATGTGACTACTTGACTAAGTGGTTAGAAACAAGAGCCATTAAGAAAGCGGATACGAAGAGTGTGGTCAAATTTTTAGTGGAGCAAATAGTATGTCGCCATGCATGCCCTAGCATTTTACAATCAGATAATGGATCGGTTTTTACTTCTGCCCTTTTTAAGGAAATGGCACTAGCATTAGGAATTAATCATCTGCTATCAACTACGTATCACCCACAAACTGTAGGCCAGGTGGAAAGGAGTCACCAAGTGTTACATGATAGTATTTTCATGTACTTGGAGGACCCTTTACATACACAGAATGATTGGGATAAATGGCTGTGTCAGATCACGTTTGCTATAAATACCTCAGTTCATAAAGCCACAGGCTATTCACCGTTTTTCATGCTGTATGGGCGAGAAGCAGTATATCCGATCGAGCGAGAGGTGGCAACGAAAAGTACAGACGAAACTGTGGAGGAATATGTAACACGACTCAGAACGGCCAGGCTCATTGCATGTGAACGAATTAGACGAATGCAAAATCAGTATGCAGCAAGGTATGACGAACACAGGCAAGAGCATCCATTTGCGATAGGAGACAAAGTATTATTCAGAAAATATCCTCAAAGAAAGGGTCTGAATCCTAAGCTGTTTGCATTTTATTATGGTCCGTACACCATAATTGGAAAAGTCTCTGAGGTGAATTACGTAATTCAAGCTGATGTCGATCCTGCCGTCACTGAAACGGTGCATGTGGAAAGGCTAAAATTATACATTGCACGCTGTGAGGACAATGCTCTAACCCAAGTCAATGACAGCGAATCAACATTATCACAAGCCAAGTTAAGCGTTCCTGTGGAGGAGGAAACTGAGTTGGGCACAGAAGGAGAAAGTGTAACCCGGAGTTTTAGTCATTTGGACGCAATTGAGGAGGAAAGTAATCAGCAACCGTCAATACAAGCCGAGGAAGTATCAGTCCCATCTATATCTGATCCATCTCCAAGTGCGGATCAACCTGCGTACAATTTGAGACCGCGGAAGCAGGTCAATTATCGCACGTAATGGACGCCATAGTCTTCTTAATATTAATCACCACTCATGTGGCCCACATGTTCCCCAGCCCAACTGTCTCTGTAACTACTGGAATAATGGTGGAAGACTCGGATTTTATTCCCTTTGAGACTACAATTCCAATTATATTCGAAATATCCATTCTTGAAAATAAACAGTTCCCATCTCACATGGAGCACCTTGACGACCGTTTTGATAAAATAATGGAGATATCAAGATCTGCAATACTCCGAGCGCGTCCGTTAGTGTACAATAACGGAACCGCTAGGAAACTTCGAGAATCGGAAGGACTTATGCCCTTAATCGGAAAGGCGTCCAACTGGCTTTTTGGCACTGCGACCCAACGAGAAGCAGAAATTTTAATCAATAACGAGGAAGCTATTTCAACAGCAGTGAGAAATGTGGAAAAAGCATTAACAGAAGAACATCAACAAACGGTCCAGAGAGTAAAATTAACCAAGACGCACATCACTACTCTGGCAGCAGCAGTGGACGAGATACATGACGTCGTAGATCAAGATCGAAATTCGGTGAGAAAATTAGCTAATCAAACCCTTGTTATTCACGACGAATTGGCATTTTTAATAAGCTCAGTGGTGCAGCAAACGCTACAATCCTTATTTAATGAAGCTATCCAGGCCTGCGTGGAGGGACGCCTCCATCGTTACTTTGTATCAGAAGTAACATTGGCACAGCAAGTGAGCCAATTGAACAGAAAACTAGTCGACTATAAATATACCGTGGCGCTGCCATCCGGTCAAATCCACAAATTTTACGAAAGCAAAGGATTAACTATCTGCACTGTGGAAGGAGAAAAAGCAACAATAATCACTGAAATACTTATTCGCCGTAAAATGATATATAAAAGTCTCAGTATCAATCCTCTACCGTTTCTGTACGACACTACAATTTGTCAAATCGATATTCCCTATACTCACATAATATTACGAGGCACTACTTTACATCCTTTAAGAATTCCCATCGATTGTGATTATGGACCTAATAAGCTGTGCCTAATATCAAGTTATGACTTTTATGACACGTTCAATATTAAGTGTCTCGATGTAATTACAAATGACACCACAGTGGCTGCATTGAAGAAACACTGCCACGTTGTGTGCAGACCATATACAAACCCCGTGGTCATCAGAAATCGCAACCAATTAACCATCATATCCCGTACAAAGGAAGCACAAGTCATATGTCCGCAAAATACGACCAGAGTGGATTTGCTGGGAATCGGAACAACTACGATGACAATACCCTGCATGTGTGGACTTTCAGTTGAAAATTACGTCTACCCTCCATTATTTCCTTGTCCCAATGAGGAAGAATTTCTAAGTTCAACCAACATAATTCCAGGCATAATTACCAAATTGGAGGATTTGGTAATGTCAAATAACGACTCAGTAAACGTGTCAACCAATGATGTCAATAACAAATGGAAGAATTCAGTCAGTCATTTGGACCTATCTTTCCCAGTGGAATCATTTCAGCCACCACCACCACCACCGTTTTTCCCAACGTGGCATATTCATGCCCTCCCAATCACAACTTGGACAACGGCAATAACAACTATTGTAGTGGTGGTACTTGTAATAATAACAATACTAATTGGTTGTTATCTGTGTTGCATGCCCAGTCCCACTAAAATATTAGCAACAATTGCACAAAGCATTGGTCCGTCCCTACGAGTAAGTAATATTATTACTGAAGAATCTTCGCAGTTTCAGATTCCACCAGGTTGGAGTGACTAATTTCAAGTACCTGAGGAGACATATGCCAGTTTCTAAAAACGTAATTTAATATTGTGCATATATTATGGTAACGGTACACGAAATATTTCTTAAATACATGATTGAAGTATTTACATACGATATTAAATTAACCAATATACTTAAGCAGGCAAATAAGTCGTGCTGGATCAGTGGCTTAGTTGAGAAGTTTGCCTTTCTAGTTACTCTGGTCTGCACAGGAGGATAGGAAAGGCCAATTTCATTTCACTAATATTTGCAGCAGCTGCTAAATGTCGTTTTTTGGCATGTTAATTCGACATGAATGAATTATTAATGCATAGTTTAATTCAGTGGTATTTTTAATTTTTTTTTTAAAAAAAAGGTTGCTCCATTATGTAGTTATTGAAGTCATTAATACAAAATTGTATAAATATTCATATCATGATTTAAATACAATGGTGCATTGTATTAACTCAATATAAATAGTATGAAGTTTGAGGTATGTAATTAATTTCTAGACTTGGTGCATGTATGTATTTAGTCAATATAAATAATATGAAAGTGGTGAAGTATGAAATGTAAGTAAAATTACAATGCTATAATCGACTCGTGTCAATTGAAATTGGCCGTAAGTGCGTGTTCAGCTTGTATAGAATCTTGTGAATTTTTGAAATACGTAATACAATTAAATAAGTGGCAGCTTTCGTAGTAATATTATGAAGGTTTAAGTTTGAGTTATAATGACAAGTATGTTATGGTAATGCTAATTAAATGCTTCGCAGCATAATTAAATTGTCTTAAATAAGCTAGTAAATATAGTTAATTAAAATTTTCGGGATAATTCAGTAATTTTTCAATGTTGTTTTAGTTAGGAAATGGTCGTAATTAATAATATGAAATGTCTTAAATTTATAATGCTATGATTGACTCGTACAAAGTAAAAGTGGTGCGAATGTGTACTGAGTTGGTATAAATATTATGAATCTTTATTGAAGTGTGTAATGCAAATAGGTGCATCAGTGTCGGTAGCAAAAGTATGATGATGAGAAATACCAATTTATTGTCAAAAAGAAATAATATACATACAGAAGGACATTTGGATTTGCAAGTTAGTTTATTGTAATGATAGTGTAAGTCTAGAGAGCGCATGTATGTATGACTCTTGGCTAAATTGTGTTATTAGTAAGTATTCGTTCAACACAATAAAATCAAATAAATTACTCCTGACCTGCGCCAGCTGAGCAAATTATCCATTCAATTAAAGAGGCCTGTTCGGGTCCAAGGAGGAGCGACAGCAGCGTTTGTTTTGTTGAGGGAAGAAGATCCAGACAATCCCCGCACTTCACAATTTCACCTAATCCAAGGGTGGTGTAGCGCTGTTTAATTGGCTGATGAGAAGCCGAACTGTAAAATAAAAATCAGTAAATAGGTACAATATATGTAACTGTAGTTAAAATATGTGGCATATGGTGCAGCAATTTACCTTCCAATAAGAAGTAGCATCAAACAAATAGTGGTCTGCATGCTGGTGGGTTTGTATGAAATTTTGAAGCTTGAACGGAGTGTGCTGCTGAGAAATTTATTTAAGAATAATGTCAATAATTAGCGGTCACGACTATTTATGTAGATGTACAACATCTACAGTTCGTGTACTTTGTACTTGTTAAATTTAGTGATAAGTGGGAGAAAATGCTTACCTTTAAAATTTGGTGTCCAAACATGTTCACTTAAATGTGTGTATGAATGAGGAAAGATGATTTGCAAAATCGTATTTATCTTATCCACTTATTTGAAACAAATTGCGATGTTCACTTTGAGGCTGAATGTAAACTATTCATTTGAAGTTTGGAAACCAATTTGGAAACCAGTGACCACTATTTGGTCTGTATTTGTCAGTTCACTTTTCGGATGACATCGATGTCGATTAAAAGAATTTTTGGAAGCATAAAAATTATGGCATTTGATGCACAACTCTTTAGTGTCAATATTCACGACTACCTTAGTATGCACTTTTTCAAAGTGTTTTTGTTGTGCGACTCTTTGCCTTGCAAAATTTAAGTTGCAAGGCACACAGCGTTCTGAACCTGCCATATTCTCACTTGAATTGTTGGTAGCGAGTTGGTCGCGGTTGCCGTTATTTGTAAGAGTTAATTGTAAATTATTTATAATTTGATGCACATTAGTTGGTGCAACAGTGGGTTGCAGAACGTGCACGTTATGTCGCAATAAATGCAGTACTTGTTGCAATAATTCAAGATCTATGTGCACGCTGCCCATTTTTAATTAAACTTTACGAAGTGAGTAACGTCCTAACAGCAGCAGAATATTATTATGCACCAGTTGTGTGCAGTAGTTTTACTAATGTTTAGCGTAAGCACGGATTGGACATGATATGTGTTTACATATGTAGTAACTAAGAAGAGAGTAGTACCAACCAAAATGTATGCCAAGTTATAAATAGGTTAGTACTTGTATGTCCATGCACCAGATAAGTTGGGTAAAGAAACATCCTCCGACTTGGAGTAAATCCAAAGAGAGTCAGTTATTTGCTTCATGAATCCAAACTAACCAGGGTTCACATGAGGGTTGCATTTGTTAATGTGTAGGGTTATTAGCGTTAATCATTTATGTAATGGTAAATATCAAACTCTTTTAAAAAGAGTATAATAGTTTGTTAGTTGTAATAATTATTAGCAATTTAACCAAAAATTGTTTGTAAACAAATCAATTTTTTTCCCCGGGGTATGTAGTGTTGGGTGTCTATGCGAACCCTACTAATAATAAATAGTCAGTCGCTGGTTGTAACTCGAGGCGTGAACACCATTCATTTCCATCCGCCACCATCTGCATATATCAACCGCTGCATCTAACAGTGCATGAGTTGGGACTACATGCATTTCGAAGAGCTCGGACAGTGGTAAGTTTTAAAATTTATACGACGAAAAAGTTAGTGCTAGTTTTCTAGAAATTTAAATCGGAAATTTCGGATTTATGTCCATAGCATATATAGTTAACTTTACCCGGGTATTTCGCCAATACCGGGTAGGTGCATGAGTTGGGACTACATGCATATTGAAGAACAGGGTCAGATGTAATTTTTAAAATTGGTCCGTTGAAAAAGTTAGTGCTGGTTCTCGAGAAATTTTAGTGACGAAATTACGACTTTTATGCGTACATATGTATGTGTGTATGTATATGCGTATAGGGGGATTGCCTTGGGATATGTGTTCACACATGTCCCAACATACAACACGTGTTGTATTATAGTAAAGTATCAACCTGAATAATTCTTGGCTGTTAAGGCGGTTTAAGTACGTTTATTGGCACCATGGAACTTAATTCACGTGATAATACATACATACTAAATATAATGAAAGCGAGTCTCAAATTCCCCCAAAAATTGAGGGGAAAGGCCAGAGGTTCGAATTACAACAGTTTTGGAGCTGCACACTAAAAACAAAACCCTGAACGATGAACATCCAAAGATCCAATGACTTCAATGGCAGAGGGACGTACAAAACGGTAGAGAGTTTAAAGCACGTGTCGAAAGATTAAATTCATCAATTGATAATAAATGAAAAGCCCTTGCTAATTGGTGCTTATATGCCAACGATTTTGAAATATTTCTGAAATTGCCAGTCGCATGGGCCGCCGTTTTAAAAAATTTATGCTTGGATTCAAATGTCATGCTCCAATATTGTTTTAAGGGGCCAATTCCTTCAATTGCTTCGCCATAATGAAGAAGATGATTATGTTTGGGCTTCTACAAAAACTTACAAAAACAATTCTGATACTTAAAACAATACTCAGAAATCAGTGACTGTAAATAAATTATTCCACCTTTTGTGACTTTATCTGCCAGCAAAATGACCAGAATTTCTTGTAATAAAATGTACAAGTTCCAAGCGTCATCATTTTCTGGGACCTTATCGCCTATCATAAGTCCCAGAAAAAAAGTTAAACAGAGATTTTGAGAAGAATTCTGACCAATTTTGTTGTCTGATTTGAGATGAGAATATTTAATTAAAGATGGTTTTGTATTTTTATAATGCCTACCGTAATTAAAACTTTCCAATCTATAATTAAATGAATCTAGGGTAAAATACTTTTTTGAAATGCATCGATTTAGGAAGTGTACCATAAAATCAGGCACCACCCCTTCCAATAAATCGTGCATTATGTCAAATACAAAGTTACTTGTAACATGAAAATATGGCAATTCGTTAAAAACAGAGTTAAAATTTATACCAGTTTTAGACAAATCGCAAATTAAAATGTTTTCATTATAATTCGTAATGTTTCTAATTTTACTTTCATCCTGGAAAAAGGATGTTTGACACAAATTTCTGTGCATTTTGCAATATCTGCAAGGAAAATTAGCTGTGAAACCTTCAACAAATCCAAGTAACCCATGGAGCCCTAAATTGTCCCCACAAATTTGCGCTAAGCATACTTTAATATTGATTATTTGATTGCGAATCGAAAAATCAATTCCACCACGCCATAATATTTTAAGTTCATCGACAATTACTTTTGAAATAGTATTTGCGCCTGAACTTTTAAAATCTTCAGTTTTTAGACATGCTAATAATATTATATTATCCGTGCTGCTTTGAGTGTGGCGTGGACTATCGACAATTGAAAAATAAAAATTAGAAAGTTTATGCTTTCCTGCTTTTGACCCAAGAGGATTTGCCACTTCAGCCTCATCATAGTATAAGTTTATAAAAATCGTGTTTTTAGGAAATGTAAACGATTTTGAATGTTTACCCTCCATAAAACAGGAGAAGTATTCAGAATTGTAAAAACTTGTCTGATCTAATGATGAATAAAATCCTGATTTATTAAGTAATTGTTTAATTGAATCTGCTATTGGGACGTATTGCATCGAAATTGAACGGTATATTTGCTTAGTACCTGAATTGGCTTGTGTGAAACTAATACCTGAATCCAAAATAATTTCCTTCGCTTGGATCATAAAGTTGTTTTCCTGCATAAATTTATCCAATTTGTATTTTGACTTAAACGGTTTAAAAGCAGTCATAAGATTTAAAAATTGTTCAAAGATAGTTGAAATTTTGTCATTTTCAGGCTTATTTGTTTTCACAATGTCTTGAGCAATATTACTACTCAATAATAATAACTTCCTGGCAAACCTTTTTATATTACTAAATATATGATCACATGTACTCATCGGTACTTTGCCTGACTTTAGAATACTTGCTAAAATTTGAGACAAAATAATCTTTAAATCCTTCATATCGTTTGTATTTTTACTCTTTGAGCTTTCATTTAAACTCGGAATTTCAGTGGTTGATACTGGGTCAAGTTCACCCACCTGATCTAAATTAACAAAGCTATATTTTTTTAATACATTAGGATGCAATTTATAGATATTTTTCATGTGTCTCAAATAGCTCTTTCTATCAAGTTGACTATCACAATGTAAGCATTTATAAATACTATTTCCTGCTAGTCTATGAATATCTTTTAAATGATCTAACAATTTTTGAAAACTAACAAAACCGAGTCGACACTTGAAACACGGAAATACCTTTCCACTTTTTAAGGCCTCGATAGCTGATAGTATTTGCAGGCGGTGGCCAAGAACTGGAACAATTTCGGATAAGTCATCTCTGGACAGCAAGACGAAAGACCTATTGGTTATTTGATTCTCTGAAATTTATAAAAATAAACGATTTACAATAGTGAAATTGAAATGAAAAAATTACTGATGTTTGCAAACCTTTAAATTTGTCCAGATAACGAGATAACTCGAGCTCCTCTAAAACTCATGTCGCTTCACTGAACTCCATCTCGATAATTTTTTAAAGATGATTGTTATTTAATAGTAATTATTATAAATTCGCAACTATATATTCAGAAATAAAAGTTAACGAATTGGAGAGTGAACGCGAGATCAACCGACAAACTAAAATTGTAGCTTGGCGGTGCATGATGATGGACAAACTCCTCCTTCCAAAGCAGCTTCATTGGAAGCTCATTTTCCTTCAACCAAAGTAGCCGAGTTGCATTAAAAGCAAATGTACCTTCAAGCAGAGCACTTTAACTCTTTTGCCTTGCCTAAAGCACAAAATTCATTTGCTTCAAAATTAAACATCTGAATTTGCTTGATATTTGGCTCATTTTGCTGTGGATGAAGCATATCAAAATGTTGCTTTTCGAAAAGCAAATGCAATTTTTAAGTGTGTGTGGGAAACGAATCTCACGTTGCCCCACAAAGGCGGGATTCATGGGCGGAAATCGGATACCGTTCGGCTTAACCGGCTAACTTCGGTCAAACTAATAAAAAAAGGAAAGGCCAACTTCACACTAGTGTGTTTCATAGACAATAATTCAAGCCAAACTTCATGCACATTTTGCATACACATTTTCATGCAAAATCTCATGCACAATTTCATGATCAATTATTTTGATCAATTATGATCAATGATCAATTATTTTTTGTTCACAGCATCTCAACAATCGTGTCTTCCTCCCCGTCGCCGTCAACATTTTGGCTGCTCTGTACTTAGTCTGCCCCTTGACCTTGACCCTTCCACCACGAAGGCCCCCTTCCCACAGGAAATTATGTAAAATATGAAATTTGTAAAAGTAAATCAATCAATTTCACATAATTTACGGACTTTTACAATGTTAGCAAAGCCTGCGTTAATTGCCTCATTGTATATTTTGCCCACTTTTGTGTCCTCAGATCTGCACAATCCTGCCGCCCGTACGAGTATTCGGACCTTCCGTACGAGTATTCGGACCTTCCGTTCTCCACGAAATTGACCTTTTTCGAGAGCTTCATTTTCTCCCCAACTTCGTCCTCACCTTTGACACCATCTCCTCCAAACTGATCACTTCTTGGGGAAAGTGGGGTGAAAGACTGGGTCACGCCGGAGGTGACGCGACTCGAACTAACACCATAATTCAGAAGTCAATACCGATCAATTTTACGGCGCGTCGTGGCGCCCCAATGTTGTACGAATAGGAAATTAGATTTGTCGGCGGTGCGTAAAAGTCTCGGCGGAGTTGAACGTAATTTGTAAATGTATTTTAATAATGCTCATATACAAAATATTACAAAATTTCGTGTGTAAATAAATGCTCATTTTATGATGATAAGATAAAAAATGTCGTCCGGTGCAAAAATTTTAACGAGTATCGAACCCGCAATCACTGGATCCGCAGCCAATGCATCCAACCTCTTCTCCAATCAACCCGTTAGGAAAATAATCCGCAAATCTTACACTTACAATTTCCCTCAACTTTTTCCGCAAATTTATTCCTCCATGGCGTCAAAATATTCAGATAAATAGTTATTTACCTCTCAAATACTAATTTAGCTCATAAAGTTGACCCGATCTGAGGGAAATTTCGTCACCTCTGGAAATTTTCATGTAAATAAATTAGTAGAACAAGTCGGAGAGAGAACCCAAGCAACCAAAATCTGCAAATATTGTACCAAATTTGTACAACTGGATTATTGCATATTTTCCGTTAAAATGTGAAGCCGACTTGTGCTTATTTTGTACAAGTCGCATTTGCAAAATTCATACCAATAATTTATCACTGCAAGTTTACTTGTACCAAATATGCACAAAATTAACACAAACAAATGTGTACGAATTTTGTGTAAATTTGGTGATGATTGACATGCATTAATGAAGTGAGAATTTAGTGCGAATTTAGTGCGAATCTATTACTAATTGTGTGCTAATGGTACGCATGAAATTAATACAAATTCATTTACACGTATTACTCACATTTCAATTATTATTTATTTATTACACATTCATCTGTTGTACATATTTCTACAATAATGTTAGGTATCTCCAAATACTTAACTAATTAATAGATAATTGCAAATTGGGATACACAAATATTTATCGAAATTAATCGGTAGAATACGTACTTACGGCGTATAGAGAAAGACGCACGTTTTTGGTCACATTCTGATGCATGCAATTTGTTTGAGAGATTTTAAGTAGAATGAGTGTTGAGCGTGAGCAAAATGATACAAAGTGCATGCCGCCGGATGTTTGGTTGGTGCATATTCATAATTCCACATTTCCACATGTCATAAAATACGTGTACATATTTATAAATTACAATCATTGAAAATTGAAGTAGTTGCTGCTAAACTAAATAACTAGTCCATAAATCTATAGTGACTCAGTAAGTATTTTCTAAATAAACAACCCCAAAAGTTCTCACTTTTTTCCATCAATTAATTTGCCATTTCTGATCTTTCGCCATCTCATATCATCATAATTACCTCTCAAATTTTCCATCCAATACGCGAAAAGTTTAAAGAGTCTCGGAGATGACGGACCTAAGTCAAATTACCACCCAACCATGCTCTTCTCTCGGCGTGCCTCCACCCAAAAAACACGAAGGAGAAACTATTAAATGCTTCCTTCGCATCCGACCTCATCTTAAAAATTCTCTGGAAGAGGTCGAGGTAACTTTGGTTAACTTTCCCCAAGAATTTTCAATAATTTTACGTGATGTCCAATAACCTTTGAATTTGCCTGACCAAGATGACTGGGGGTCACTGAAAGCTTGCTATTTTTCAACTAAAATCAAATATTATTCCCGAAAACTGCAGAAATGTCTAAATAACTTTATTTCTTCAGCTCATCAGCATCGTCGACCCCAAAACCGTGAACGTCTCGTATGACGCCGATGGTCTCAGAGGGAACCGTGTGAGCAAGACGACATCCTTCTGCTTCACCCAGGTCATGGACCAAACCTCTTCACAAACCCAAGTCTAAGATGAGGTCATGGCCCCACTTTTGAATAAATTTTTTATCGGAGAAGACAGCTTGATTTTGTCATTCGGGGCGACCAACTCCGGAAATACGCACACAATGAATGGTGATATTTTATAAATTATGGGTACATGATTTTTATTTTTAACTGCTCTCCATTTATGGTAACAATTAAGGTCCAGCGACCGATTCTGGGCTGATTCCACGCTCGCTGCAAGCGCTATTTTCCAAATACCAAGGTCACATTTATTCTGGGGGTGACGTCCAACCGTTCGGACATGATGGGACCAGATTTCTTGGGGTCGGAGAGAAGAAAGAAATTTCCGAAAGGAAGAAAGCTCTGGTCCAGGCTGGGGTAAATTCTTTAGAATTTGCACATGTTTATTTTTTGAAAGTAATTATTTTTCAATCGCTGCAGAGTGCTGAGATGAGGTTGCGAAATCAGAATGAGGGGACAGAAAATAATCCGAAGTCGGACGGTGTGTCGAAAGATGCAAATGGTATGTGTAACATGATGATGATCATGATGACCCCATGATTCAGCGGTCGACGCCACCACCAATAAATCTAATTTCCTATTCGTACAACATTGTGGCGCCGGGCTGGCAAAAAAAATCCCAAAATTTGTCCTCACCTCCGCAAAATTGGTTGACGCTGACCTCTCCCTTGCATTATTAAAAATCTGGTATATGTAGTCCCGCAGATATTGCTTTCTCGGTATGAAACCTGCTAGCGCTTGTCCTCAAAATCATTACCGGTCCGGAAAACTTTGTTCTCGAGACGATAAAACATTGTACTACTTATCAGTCCCACTTTGGCACAGTAATACATACATGAATCCCACTTGATATTAGTTTAATCCCAAATTTCTAACAATGTAATTAATTAATTGACACCAATTTATGACGCCACAATATCGTTTCCAGATGGTGACCTCGCCACATCATCCGGAGGGACCGTGTTCGTCATCTTCATCTCCTTCCTGGAAGTTTACAATGAAAAGCTGTTTGATATTTTCGCCCACGGGAGGAGAACGGAGGTTAAAATGGTGGACGGGGTGGGAGGCTCGGTGACCTGCAAGGATCTGACGGAAATCCCAGTCTGTTCGGAGGACGAAGCATTAGCCTTGTTCATCGCTGGACATCAGAAGGTCCAGATTTCCGCGACCGGTGCAAATGCGACGTCGTCGACGTCGAGGTCGCACTCGTTCTTCAAGATTCAGGTGGTGGAGTTGGAAAACAGGGGACGACGCTTGGCAGCTGTCCGGACGACTCAGTAAATCGGTGTTGCTTGCTGTTCATAATTAGTGGTAGCGGAAGTTGGGGGACATTAGTATTATGAGATAGGACGAGGAGGGGCTGCTTAGCGTGGGGAAGATAGGATTTTTCTGAGTTTCTGGGGGGACAATGTCTCACCTATTTAATTAATAATAATTAACCCATATTTAACTTGTAGGCTAACTTTTTGTGATCTCGCGGGATGCGAGCGAGTCGACCAGACCCACAATTCGGGAGCGCAACTGCGAGAGTCGGCCAATATCAACAACTCCCTGTCATCGCTCCTTAAGGTTATCCGGATGATAAGGTTGGTTACCGTGAAAATTATTTTTCACGGATGGTAATTTTTCCCCGAGTCAGGCCTTATGTACTTGTCGTGTCTGTCGGTCCGAGACATGTGACCGATTGACTTCAAATTTTCCACGCAAATTTTTGCAGCAATACCATAAATTTGCAGCGAAAGCTTAAAATTTGTAAACTCTGTAAACATTCCATTTCGCATTTCTCAATTTGACACAAACGCCCAAATCTCAGAATACGATGCCAATTTCAAAAATATTTCGACCAGGCTGACCCACACTTGCTTTAAAAAAATGCGCAGAAAAGATGACCCCACACGTTATCCTTCCCTGACTCGGGCCATATTACGCTGTACTGTGACTGTAGGTTTTAATTTGTCTTCCAGGCAAAAACAATCGCAGGGACAACGCGACTTTGCCACCAAAATCCCCTTTCGAGACTCCAAATTGACCCGGATATTCGGAGGATATTTCGCCACCTGTGCCCACATCACGATGCTGGTCAACGTCAACCCTGATCCAACCATGGCGCCCTCAACAATGCAGACGTTGAAGAACTCGGCAATAATAAGCCAGGTTGGTGGAGATATGTGTAATGAAAGAAGTTGTCAATAAAAAAATCGCTCCAAACTCGTAAATAATAAATTCCGGGATGATAATTGTAAAAAAATGTATGGAATTTTATCCAGGTGGTGACGAAGCCACTCCGACCTCCACCCCAAACTTTGGGAGCATCCTCCTTCGTCCGCCAAAGGTCTGTCGAACTTGAGAACATTTTCGAAAATGACGACTTTGAGAATGTCTCGACAACCGCTCCACGCAGCAAAAGACAAAGGCTTACTTCCCCCAACAGTACTGATAATGAGCTGGTAACCCTTCGATTTGGTCAAAGTTTTAAAATTACGTCAATGCAACCAACATTTCTTGAAGCGATGGTTCGAATTTGACAAAAAGTGGGCGATTCTTGCGAGCAAACTATTTTCGTCGCAGGGAAAATTTTGCCAACTTTGACCTCAAGTGTTACAACTTTGGTTGTATTGACTTGAACTGCAAAATTCTTAAATTTTAACCGAGTCGGAGCCTTACACTTTACGCCTTCGCAGGGTCATCTGCGCTCTGAGTGTGGCGACTTACGAGCGGAAACCGAGAAACTTTCCGAACAGAGGGACGCCCTTCTGGAAGCCAACGCCTCCCTCGAAGCCGAGTTGGCGACGACTAAGCGCGAGCTTGTCCAACGCGACCGAGAAAACGATGCCCTAAAGGGGAAAGTCAAGGATGTCGAGGCGAGCCTGGAGATGATGAGGGCAGGGGCCACGACACGAAGGAATGCGGCGATGAATGGGGTCAATCTTTACCCTCCGATTGGTACGTGACCAAAAAACAAGCCAATTTGCTCACACGTATCCACATTCCTCCGAATTACAATTTTTTGTAACCCCACTTTTCATGCCACAAAAAAAACACAGCGTCCCAATGTGACATGAAAAGTGTTACCTCGAAAACGTGGTCAGAATTCATGCCACCTATTTTATTTTCCTTCCAGTTGGAAGTTTTGTAAATTTACGACGTTTACTACAGTCATGAAAGTGACGCGAAACCCCCAAACGAAAGACTGAAATATTCATCTCCGTCTTTTCACACCGAATTACCCGAATAATAACAATATGAATTATAATAACAATATCCTACGTTTCTAGAAAAGAGAAAAATGGTAAAGTGTCGAGGACCCTGCGGGAAGGATTATGAGTTCGGCTGGGAAATTGATCGTCACGAGGTGCAGAAATGTAGGGTCGTCAATAGTGCGTCAGAACTTCAAGAAAAGGGCAGAACCTTGTTCCCTTGTACACGCTGCGACAGGCCCTTCATTTCAAATGGTGACATGATGCGGTAAGAAATTCCCGATAATCCAATATTAATAGTCTGAAAAAAATCTGAAACGCTTCCTGCCATTCGAACAACCGATCGGAAAAGTTTTAAACGAACTATTAATATTGATTGAAGAGTAATAGATAATTAAATCCTCTCGTGAATTATTTACAGGCACAGAGTCAAATGCGACGGCAACGATTCCGGCAAACAAACCAAAGTCTGCAAATAATGTAGCAAATTTGTACCAATGGATTAATGCATATTCACCGTTAAAATGGCAAGGTGATTCGTACTAATTTTGTACAAGTCGTATGTACAAAATTCATACCAAAATATTGTCAATAATACAACTTTGTTTGTACAAAATATGTACAAAATTGACACAAACAAGAACGTACGAATTTGATGCGAATTTGGTGATAATTAATATGTATTAATATGATGCGAATTTACTACTAAACTAGTGCGAATATAATACTAATTGTGTGTTGATGGTACGCATGAAAAAATTCGTAATTTATTTTTTTCACAAAATTTACTTCGACGTTGAAATATGTATACAAAAGTATTAATATTTTTTTTCAATTTTGTAATTCATCATCAAGATTGCATACATAATATGTGAAATTAATCGGTTATATCATTTAAGGAGGATAATTTTATAGTTTTTATAATTTCATAATTTTTGCAATTTTATAATTATTTTCAATTTTATATAATGAAATTTTTACATGGAAGTCATAAAATTAATTTCGTCCAATTTATGTATTTATTTGGTCTGGTTGGACCAGAAAAAGTTGATGCTAGAAAATTTAAAATTATTTGGTAATAAAATCGTCCCCAGGTGTAAGTATTTTTCTAAATTTTATTCCAACGGTATGCTCTCACACATTTTAACGGATAAATAAATCGCGGTGTTTGCAGTTTTAAAATAAAATTACTTTTATATAGTCTGTAACGGCAATGAGCTCTATTTACACTTTTCAGATTATGAAAATTATTTGTAGGTTAAATAGCAATGGTATAAACTGCAACAAATTCTAGTATAAAATAGTTTTTTAAATTATTTCCCGCGATATTTGACCAAAAGTTGGACTAGTTTGAGTCAAAATCCAAAATTTGCAAAAAATTCGCACATTTTGGCTCAGATCTCGAAAACCACCAATCTACGCCCCCAATATTATTCCAGATTCTTCATGTACACAAAATTACGAAAATTTTAAGCTATTAAACTTGAAAATCGTTCGAGGGCGAAAAAACACGATCTCATTGTATATATCTATCTTAATTAATACAAATTCATTTACACGTATTACTCATATTTCAATTATTATTTATTTATTGCAAATTCATCTGCTGTATTTTTACAATAATGTTGTCTCCAAATATATATTTAGCTAATTAAAGATAATTTCAAATTGGGATACAAAAATATTTATCGTAATTAATCGGCAGAATACGTACTTACAGCGTATAGAGAAGACTAAATTAAAATGAATTCCTGAGCTATGCCTCATTATTCACCTCAGGTTCTTCTAGTAATTGAGGGCGATGTCGTTTGCCGTTATCACTTGAGTCGATAGGTTTATTCCTCTTATGTTTTCTCAACGTATGAATCTATAAATTAAGCAAAACGTATATTTACATAAATAACCCGAATGTATATTAATGCAAAAGTAAGTAGCTAACAACAATATATAATTACCGTATTTTCCGACATATATGTAACATGCCATGGGTTGTCCAATCTTTTGAAATCCACGTAGATGGCACAATCTCCACCCACTTGTCGACTTCAAACTCGAGGAATACGAACTTTTGTCTGACATACGATTGACCTTAACTATCCAACGAATTTTTTGGTTGGAAGTTAAAAATGGAGTTGATGTCACGGCATGGCAAAAAGAACAACTGACTTGAGGTGGATTTATTTAATAGCGAATAGAGAAATGATACTAATTTAGGAGGAGTACGTACGACCTTTTCAATGCCAGATCTTGATGCCCTTTGGATATGTTGTAGGTCTATACGAGTGTAGAAAAAGTGAAGGAGGGTTAAGGTCCATGGGCCCTAGTTCGCCAGCCACACCCCTTTGAAGGGGCGCCCAATGCCAAACTAGCCGCACTAAAAAACTTGCCAAAAATCCAACTGTGTTCGGATTTCCATAATATTTACATATTCTTGATCCCAGATAGTTGCTTTATCATATCCAACATCAAATTCGATCCTTTTCAAATTTTCAAAATTTTTGAAAATCTTGTGATCAGGGGAATGTATCGAAAAAATGTGAAATTTCGAAAAGGTTGCGTTTGATGTTGGATATGATAAAACAACTATCTGGGATCAAGAATATGTAAATATTATGGAAATCCGAGCACAATTGGATTTTTGGCAAGTTTTTTAGTGCGGCTAGTATGGCATTGGGCGCCCCTTCAAAGGGGTGTGGCTGGCGAACTAGGGCCCATGGACCTTAACCCTCCTTCACTTTTTCTACACTCGTATAGACCTACAACATATCCAAAGGGCATCAAGATCTGGCATTGAAAAGGTCGTACGTATTCCTCCTTAGTAGTAAATTATTGCAGAATAATCGGTACGAATTTTGTGTGAATATGCTGGCACCTATTTACTGCATTTTGGGTTTGTACAATTTTCCAGGTACGAATTATGCATGAATTTGGTTCAAGAAATCTCATGAGAATTTAGTGTTAACAAATACGCACTAAATCTTCACTTGTCCCTTTGTAATAATTTACTACTAATTAATTTGTGATAGTTTAGTTGTTAGTGGATTTCGTGTGCTAATTTGTTAGCAGCACACAAATTGATATAAATTTTGCACGAATCTTGTACAAATTAATGATTACATCTTTTTATGCACAAAAATCGCATTAACTTGCATTGGGATTCGCAGTAATTCGCATTGAGGTTACTTGGGAACCGACCAGGTTTATCGAGCCGTTATATTTTTTAATTAATATTAATTTTTACGCAACTTTAATCCCTTGTGTACTGTTTAAAGTTGAGTGGCAAATAAGCAGCTATTCTTTTAACAAATACATGAAACTTGATTTAAAAATAGATCTCGTTTAAACGTGCATGAAATTATTTAAGTGTGATCAGGTTGGAGGAAATGACGTCAAAAGTGGGGACGAAGTTGGGGAGAAAATGAAGCTCTCGAAAAAGGTCACGTTCGTGGAGAGGGTTGTGGGGTCGTTGAGGTGTCGAGACTTCTGGAGCACAGGTCGAATACTCGTACGTGGCGGAAGGATTACCGACCCACTACTCCCTACAAGGGAAGTACATAGCCCTGTACCTCCAATTCGAAAAGGTCGACGGAAATTAACTTTGGGTCCTTCAGTGCAGCCTTCCGCCCCACCAGAGTGGGTAAATCCACCTGAATATTCGACATTACCCACCTCTCGGGATTTTTCTTCTTCTGTGGCGCATCCTTTTCAATTTCAAGTACCTACTTTTTCCCGGAACAATTCTGTAGAATTTACATCTAAACCACTCCCTTCAAAGAAAAAACAACCTTTCTTAGTTACACTTCCAGAAGAGGTTTTATTTAACCCAGAGGAGGAAGAGGCTTTCCTTAACCCTGCGGAGGAAGAGGCTCCTTCAACTGTAGCCAATCCTGCACCTTATTCCCCCTTTTGTCCTGACATTCATTTTAAAGTAATAGAAATCAAGTCAACCGATCTTGCTGAGCCTCCACAGCTTGTCGAAACTGAACAAGTGATTAAACGCGAGTTTATCTTCAATACACCTTTACGAACTCCATCTTCATCTCGACGACAAATTACAGGCAGCAAAGGTTCGGTTAAAAAGGAAGTTAAGGTAGACCCAAGCCCTGCAGACTCGCCGGTCAGTCGGCCTGAAGGTAGTCGGCCTGTTCATCGGCCATCACTTGGTTTATTTGAGCAAGCCTTCAAGACCCTTAAGGAGCATACTTGGTGGAAACCACCTCCTGTTACTAGCACAGTAGTCCAACCCGCTTCTCCAATTACTTGGCATACTCCGACATCTTCAAAGGCCTCAGACACTAAGTCCCCTTCAAAGGCCTCAGGCACTAAGTCCCCTTCAAAGGCCTCAGGCACTAAGTCCCCTTCAAAGGCATCAGGCACTAAGTCCCCTTCAAAGGCATCAGGCTTTAAGTCCCCTTCAAAGGCGTCAGGCTCTACGTCCCCTTCTAAGGCAACAACTCCCCCACCGCGTCCGCCAACTCCCCCACCGCGTCCACCTACTCCCCCTACTCCCCCACCGCGTCCGCCTACTCCCCCACCGCGTCCGCCTACTCCCCCACCGCGTCCGCCTACTCCACCACCGCGTCCGCCTACTCCACCACCGCGTCCACTTACACCACCCCCACTCATTGTATCAAAAATTTTTGCTAAAAAGAAACGTACTACTATAGCCATACCAGCCACAATGACCAACCCTACACACTACCTTCCACCATTTTCCCAAATTGATGTGCAGTTTGATGGTCGTACATCAATTAAAGAGTTCCTCCAAAGATACGAACTGTTAGCTATTTCGTACGGCTGGTCCGAGGCGGACAAATTACGATTTTTCCCGCAATACCTTCGTGACGGGGCGAAGGCGTGGTATGATATGTATCGCCACGCACAGGCTAAACTTTTAACAAAAACCTACATGGATGTCGACTTAGTATGGGCCAATCTCAAAACTGAGATAGAAGCTGCCTACGCTATAACTGAAACACAGGAAAACATAGCATTGCGGCTCAAAGAGGTCACTTATCAGAAGTGTGGATCCGCCCTTAGCTATGTATATACAGTTTTACCCCTGTTACAAAGAATGGATGCTGGAATGACCGTAGAAAAGCGAATTAAGTATCTACTAAAGGGTCTACCCCCTGACCTTGCGGTAAAAGTTTATGACCAACGGCCGAAGACCGACATGGAGGTAAAAGATATCCTCCTCCACCATGAAAAATTTCTGGCGATGTATCCCCAAAAATCAAATCAACTTCAAAAAGATGTAGCCGGTTCAAATTGGCCAGAATTAGAAAACACATTAAAGAATCTACAACTCCAATCGGAAAATACCTACATGGCAAAGTCAAACCCTACTGACTTTTCACCAAACCGAAATGGTTCGTTCATGACACCCAACCGAAGCGGTTATTCCAATGCACCCAACCGTAGCGGTTTTGATTCACCAAACCCTACTGGTTACTTCAATTCACCTAACCGGAGTGGTTACACACCAAACCGAAATGGTCAAAACACATCACCAAACCCAAATGGTTACCAAAATACCCCAAATTCATACAACCCACAATTGGCTATCAATGCATACTCAGCTTCTCATGAACCTTCGACGGGAGGAGAAGGAACTGGTAGGTATTTCACTCGATGGGGAGATAAACCATATTCAATCCCTAACCCAAATGTCATAACCACTAACCCTGATGGTGATCAGTCACTGTTTAAATTCATCAGGCAATATCGCGATGAACAAGGCAGGCCAATATGCTGGCGCTGTGGAGAAAATGGTCACGATAAATTAGATTGTCCTCAACGAAAACGATTAATGGCAAGGGCAAAGAATCTGATGGGCACTCAAAGTGGCAAGCCCCAGGAAAACTAGGTCTACCCATGGTAAACGAGGATACTA